GAAGGCTTTTTTTTAGAGGAAAAAGCGTTGAGAAGGATGCTGGAGTGGCGATTGTGCCGGACCTGCTGGAAATTAGGGTCCTGAAACAGAAAATTTCTCCCTGTGGGCATTCACTTCTTTTTCGTCTTGTCCGTGTCGCGCTTCAAAACTCCTAGGTTCGGTCGTTCCTCGCGGGTCGAAATCCAAAATCCAAGAGAGATTCTAGTTCTAGTGGGCTTATCGATTTGAAATTTACGATCCAATTGTAAGTGAAGATAGTTGGCGATTATTTGCGTTCGCGGTCCGCGGTCCCCTCTCCCAGAGACTCCCACTTACTCTCAAGTATCACCGTGCATGCTCAAATTTGCGCCGAATTAATTGTCTTGGTACAGTGGCGCACGTTGATACTTTGACCCATTACAATACGCGCAACTTGCAAATATTAAATGTTTTTTGCATGTATAATACATTAGATACACGTGCACGTTAAATGGAGATATACGTTTATTATACGTATTTCATTAGTGCAAACGGAGTTGCTTTGGTAACGTGTAAAGTATGTACATCAAACATGTCAGTAAAATAATGAATATTTACATAAAATGTATGTAAATTTATAGCGACGTCAATTACCCTTTTGTTAATTTGCACATAGCATACATATATTAGATGCCTTTTGCATTACTGCAGATTACTGCAATACTGCAGATACAATTGCCTGTTAAAGAGAGATATACGTATTTTTTACGTGATGAAAATGCATACGCATACCTTTGCCTCGACGGGGAGGCGGGGGTCATGTAGGACTCACACTCACTGAAACACACCACCACGGTGGCCAGCAACTGCGCTTAACGGGGAGGTCCCGGGCCCGAATGTGCTAAACCCCCCCCCCCCCTCCCGTACCCATATTTTTAGTCCGTCCTCGGACGGAGAGAAGTCTCTCCCCGAATACGCATCCAGACGCCGCCACACCGTCCCACCGTCTCATCACAGACCTCGTGCAATGACGTTCCCCTGTCCCCACACGGAAACGCCTGCGACTCCGCGACCCAGATGCAAGAGAAGGAGGGTTGGCTCCCCTTGCATCGCGTCCAACCCCCTCGCCGACGTATCGGTGCGGTCGATTAAGAGGAGGATCGTTCCCTCCATTCAACCGCGGCTTTGCCTCATAAATGACGGGCGGGGGAACCACTGCGAGGGAACTCCCGTCACCCTCACGCGCTTCGTCCGCTCCCTGCCGTCGGGATCCCCACGCACCCCCTCCCTCTCCGCGGCCTCCTTTGGATTATAACTTGCTCGCAGAAGTAAGCCATCACTTCCCACGATCTCTTATCCCCGACCATCGCGCCGCCGACAGCCGGCAGCGAGAAATCCTTTCCCATCTGTTGGACCAGGATACGGCGCTCCACGTCCCTCGCGAGGCATACCTTTAGGGTGTGCTGCGCCGTGTCTCAATCCGCACCACAATGATGGCCGTGAGTTGTTATGCGGCAGCCGAGGGGATGCGAGGCCGAGGGAAAGATTTGAGTTTTGCCTAAAAAGGCATTACCTTGTACGCTACGTAACGATTTAAATGTTATGAAGAGATGGTCCGAGCGGCTAGACCAAATCCTCTGATGGGATTTATAGGGACGAGGAGCTGAAGAGGGGCTCGATAAATGGAAGTTGTCAACAGGTTGACGAGGATGGCTGTATTTGTTTCTTGTTAGGTGGAATTTCTACAAGTCATAGGGATCCATCAAGGACTTCGAGTCGAATTCTTACAATTTCGGTTTGGTCCCGCGTTGCGAAGCTTCGGGTGACGCGATAAGGCGGTCAGTGGCAGTAGGTCACTGGACGCTTAATCTGCTAACCGGAGTTTCTTGCGTTTGAAATTATGAGGTTCGCGTGTTTTTAGCGCAGGGGGAAATATTGAAATGTTTGATCGAAGGCATAAAAAAGGCTTAATCTATCCGGTTATCCGGAGGTAGGTATGGAATTCACGTAATCTTAATTGGGATGAAAGACTCGCTAAGACCTGAGAGCCGAGAACCAATGACTCCAAACTCGCGGTCGATGATGATGAGTCGTGAAACTCATTGCAATTATGTGGGAGACTGAGCGCTGAACCGTTTCTGAAAGTGGTTGCTGATTTTTATCAGTGAATTTGGGACGACGTTCCGGTTGATGGGGGTTCCATGATGTAAACGTAGACGGTGATTGCAGAGGTGTTAGATGTGCTGCAGAGTCATCGGGATGCGCTTCGAGCCGGTTGATCGCGACCTGGTCTACTTGGGTCAGTGGTGCGATCATCGTCAGGTGGACTCAGGACTTCCTTTCGCAAGCGTATGTCTCAATCGCGTGCTAATTCGTGGAATTCCATGGCTATCTTTCGGGTTACCGGGTTATAACTACTTCATAAAGGGTGCCTACGTAACAAAGTCGTCGAGTCCCACTCTATGCAACACAGGTACTTCCCGAATCACACATGCCCGGAAAGCACCTGCGTCAGCCGGTAGGTAAACCGGCCCCAGCCGGGGTCCACCCAGCCATCTTAATAGGCCAAGACCGCCCCGACCGCCCGTTGGCCGGCCAGCCGCTCGCGCCATTTGACCCGGGCTAGACGTCGGGACTGGAGTTTCCCCACTTCGACCCGCCATCCGCCCCGCTCCAACGGGTCCTGCCCTTCCCGGCGGAGGCGGTGAACGAACCAATAGATGGTTATCTGCGCCTCTGTTTGAAATTCAAAGGGCGGATTTCCCGCCAGAACTGCCATCGCCTCATGGGACATCTTGTGGTACTCTCAGGCGACTTTGATGGTTAGCCTACGCTGAAGCCGGCGCTGCATCCCAGACCGGCAATACATCATTGATCATTGCATGGACCGCGCGATGCCCACGTAGTGGCTGTCCTCTTGTCCGGCTCCTCGAGATTCAGAAGCAGGCGGCCTAAAGCGGTCGCTGTTCATTCCACTCCGGAATTCAAACGGCCAAAGTGGCTGTCGAAGATCCAGTTGCTGTTGATTCCGAAGCCGAGGTACCTCATAGTGTACTTTACCTCTACGTCGACATTACCTACTCAGATCCGGGTCTGGGGTTCCCTCCGCCTGGAGTGTACCCAGATGGCCTTGGTCTTCTGAGGAGCCACCTCGCGCCACAATCTTCGGATCGCGGCGACGGCGCACGCCACGCCTAATTCCGTAAGACGGGCGGTCTCATGTGCATCGGCGTGCGGATAGAATTTTCACAGGATCAGGAACAGCGCGCGGGGCCACGAATTCGGGGGGCCTGCTGCCATCAGTCGGCGGCCGCCCTAATTAGGCGGCCTAGTGATCTAATTAAATTAGGCGAGAGGGCAGGTCGGTGCCCGGTAAGAGGTTCCGCGAGGCCCACTAGGAGGACATCGGCGCCGGAACGAAAGATCTTCCGGGGTATCCGTCATTGCCAGAGGGACTACCGTACCGGTCACAACACCCGTCGTCCCGTCCCGTCAGCGACAGCGCCTTGTACTATTACCTCCCGAAAGACGCCGTACCGATTCGCCCCGACAGGCGCAGCAGCGCTGTCGCTTGGAGAGGAGAGATGGATCGTCCTTCCGAGCGAACTTCTTATCGGTGAGCCCGAACCTGCCCAGGGGGCCTCCTAGACCGCCATTTTCCGAATTGTCCGCGCTGTGAGCCGGTACCGCACCGTGATTACCGCGAATTCGTTTATGTCCGGGTAACTTCAGTCTCGACCCCGATAATTGGGACAATTGTAAATCTTCGTCTGCCTAATAACGACGTCTGCCCGCTAGTTTCCGTTGAACCAACTTGAGTGTCGAATAACCGGGGCCGCTGCCCTTCGTGGAGCGTTATACCGCCCCGGAAGTAAATTCCGGGTGTACCGAGTTCCGAATCCCGAAATTGTTAAGGGCCATGGGAGGCATTCGTTTATTTTTTTGTATTAGAAAATTCCGACAGGGGGTGACTCCCACCCGCTCGATCATATCACGCCCCGTACCGGTTCCTTTATGTTTTCGTAAATCATTAACGAAATTCGTACCGCGGGTGCTTGCGAGCAGGACGGAGTGGGTGGCAGGTGAAAGGTCATACCGCGAGCCGGTGCCAAATACTGTTTTGCGCAATTACCGAAGGCACTCTTACCGAGGTCCGACGGGGCACGTAAAAGGTCCTCCCGCAAGAGTGTTGTACCCTGTTCGGACTTCCACCGGGGAGTTCGATTTTCTCGAGCGCGTACCTTATCTTTTTGAATTGGTCCTGTTAATTTTTGTGGTCCCATACTTTAGTTTTTCCGTCCCGACTCTGTGCGTAGAGTCCGTTATGATATTGTGACGCGCTTCCGTGGTAGGGTCTCGTTCACGGAATAAATCTCCGAAGGGATCGTCTGTCGCAACCTTCGATTTTATTATTTCTCTGACCTTGCCGTTTCGGCGAATTCTGAGATCAACTCCTCCTCACTCGTGCCTTCTTCGTAACGAACCCCCGGCTCTACCGTGCCGCGAAGGGCGTAAGGTCCTTGCGGGGCTGAGTAACCGGCCGGATACGCCCGGGTAAGTTCCGTCGACCGGACTGAGTCGGCTTGTTCGCGCTACCGGGTATAGGAATCCCGAGGTGCGCGTGCGCACCTAGCGCCCTAAATAAATCGGGCTCCCGGAAGAGCCGATGATCGAGCTTAACACCCTTTTTCCTAACTTACACCGGGCGTATAACTGTTTGCCGACCAGTGATAGGACTTCCCGTCGCAATATATTTTAACCCTTTGCACTCGAGGACTTTGCCATTTCAGTTGCCAGTAGCGACTGAGTCGCCTCCCGAGTGCAAAGGGTTAACTTCTGATATATTGAAACATCCATAAATATGAAAACATTCTATATTCGTATATTAGAGATTTTGTTCCGTGTGGGTACGTCATAGTCTATTCTTTATCAGATGAAGCATGTGGTTACGTGCAAAAATTAATAATTTGTGTATTAGAGTGAGACAATTAAGATGACAGACATATATTTTAACTGAATTTTCAACTGTTGGTTGTTCTCAGAGTTGGAATCACAATTACGTTCAATGGAAGTTACTCCCAGAGAACTAAGGGGCGTAGACAATGGCGATTCTACAAAAATTCGTGAACTGGAGAAATTAGTACGATCATTACGCCTCGAAAAAGAAGAAGCTATAAAGGACAAATTAGACGCCCAAGAAAAATTCAAGTTGCAAGATAAAGAATTGAAAGATGCTTTAACCCAACGAAAGCTAGCTATGGCTGAGTATACTGAGGTGACGGATAAGTTATCAGAATTGAGACAGCAGAAGCAAAAACTATCCAGGCAAGTTAGGGATAAAGAGGAGGAATTAGAAGTAGTTATGCAAAAAGTTGATAGTTTGAGGCACGATATAAGAAAAGCCGAAAAACTTCGGAGAGAATTAGAGAATAGAGTGGAAGAAGCTATGGCAGAAACTAGCAAAGAAAGAAAGTTGCGTGAAAGGAGCGAAGAATATTGTAAGCAAATGCAAGAAGAAACAGAAAAAATACGGCAGCGTTCTATGGGTAACGACACTAGTGCGAATCATGCTCTTGCAACTCAAGAAATCAATAGACTCAAGGCTGAAGTCGAAAAGCTTGAAGTCCAATACAATGAAAATTTGAATCAACAGCAGAGTAGATTCAATCTCGAAATGCGAAGTCTTCAGGAACAACTACACGAGGGTGATAGTAGAAGGGAATTATTGGAAAGAGAAGTACAGGTAACGAAGGAAAAATTAGATGCTGCAAGATTAGAAAACATAACTGACAGCGAAGAAACAATAAATGAATTGAATAGGCGCCATGAAAGAGAGAAAATCATGCTCGTTGAGGAAAACAAGAAATTAGTGCTGGAACTGAACTCTGTCACAGACAGTGTGGGTAGAATCCAAGGTGAGAGGAGACAACTGGAAGACGAGTATGAAGAACTGAGGAATAAAAAGGAAGCTATAGCCCAGTGGGAAGCTCAGATTACGGAAATAATTCAATGGGTTTCCGACGAAAAGGATGCCAGGGGATATTTACAGGTACGTTGTGTAATTCTTATAAAATTGTTGCCCACATAACGAAAAGAGACATCATTCAAGAACAATGGTTCTATTTATCTGTCTTCTGTTGTCCAACTTTTACGAAGAGTTATATCTGGCGGTCCAAGTAACTACTAGTACCTTTAATATCTTCGAATTTATAAGGGTTTGAAAAAGAATGTGCTGAATGAAAGTTACATGGTATAGATGGGCTTATAATATGGTGTTAGCGATATCTTCGTTGGTAGTGTTGCTTCTGAAATATAAAAGTCAACTTCGACTTTGTTAATTAAATGCTACGTTTTTATATCCACCCTCTTAAGGGACTCTTGAGACGAATACAATGACCTATAACATAAGATCATTCAAGGTCATTAATAGTTTACAAGTTTACAAATTGTTTATAAGTTTTTTACAACTATTATCGTTGCAAGTTGTAAATAGACATCATTTACAAATGATATTCAAAGTGATCAAAGCAATATTATAGTCTTCCAACTGCTGATTCAGTTGCATGTCCGATCAGTTTTAACTTCTTGAAGCACCTGCTGCAATAGGCTACATATTTTCAGATATAGTTGGTACTTCGTTGCGCACCATATTTTTCAAGGTTTCCCATAAGAGAAGGTCGGAGGAGACCATGGATTCCGACATAAAGGAAGCGTGAAAGTTTCACGAATAAAGTATGGTGAAAGAGCTACCTTTGAATTGGAGTCTATGACGTTTCAGTCCCGCCGATTCGTCCTGTTGAAATCAAATTCTAATTTAAATTCAAATTTGTGGGTCACGGTTGCTTTATTTCTCAAACGTCATTAACCCGTTGGTTGCCCATATTTCGGCTACCATTCTCGTTTATACACAGCGTCACCCACATCTGGGTGACGCGGCGACCAACGTGTTAATACGTTTTCGTATACGGGTTAGTAAGTATACGCCAGAAACTGAACAAACAGAAGAAAACATATTAGAAAGTAATTTACAATCCCTGTCCATCGTCAGCTAGAAATGCGCGGTTGTGGGCTCCCTCCCCCCCCCTCCTCCTCCTCCTCCATCAACTAATCTAACCACACCAGATGACTATATTTGTCATACAATATTTCCTGAAACCTAGGAAGTGCTGCAACGAAAGAATCGGCGAGACCGAACTTTAATAAATAGTTCTGACGAAAACTGCTAAATTTTTTATATGTAGATTTTTTATTTTAGCTTTTTTGATAAGGAAAACAAGATCCTTTTTTTTTTCTTAGGGGGCTTCGCTCCCCAACCTCCATCGGGGCTTCGCCCGAGACGAGACGCAGCGTAGCCGACGACGAAAATTAACCGGGCTAGTTCAGTACGCCCAAGCGACCGCAGAGATAGCGAGGTCCTTTCGAGAGAGCAAACCAGAGGCGGAATTAAATTAATATCTTATTTATTCTAAAATGAAAAGAATTGAATTTAACAATTTCATAAAATGGCCACGGGCGGGCCCACGATCCGGTACCGGTCCGGGCGACGAAGCGCGTGCTCGCGCTCGAAAGGACGATGCGCGCGTCTAGGCGCACGGAAGAGAAACGGTGGCTCTTAGACAGACAAAAATAAAAAAAAACTACGCGAAACTATATCTTCGACTATAAGGTTGGGCTCGACTCCGGGACAAAAATATGAATCAAATTAAAGACAACGCGAAATGAGGATTGCAACCACGCAAGGACCTACACGGAACTAAATTAAATCGGGAAATACTAGACGACTAAATTCAGGAAGAAAATCTTTAAAAATGGACGGACGGCGATCAATTGAATACGCACGCAAGATAAAGTACAGGTTTCGGCGGTGAAGGCAGCAATAACACAAAAAAAATACAAGAAGCGCAAGAAAACACAGCAATTCGGAAATTCGGCGCAAATAATCGATGCGAAATTCGTAAAGTTTCCGACACATTAAATTTTTATACGCGATACTCACTCGGAAATAATTAAAATCCAACTAAATTTTATCGGATCGCGAAACTAACATTTTACAGTGGTTGAAATACAGGACATATATTCAGTTGTCGATTTAGAAATGGAACGGTTAAATCGAAGGCAGGCACTGTTCCACAAGAAATGTCCAGCCCTGAAAGAGGGGATTACAGGAGGACTAGCATTTCGCGAAAACGGAATTTAAATTAAATAAAGTTCGCACTTCGCGAAAACGGTAATTACTTAAACGAAGGTCGTACTTAACGAAAATTAATTGAAACGCGTTAAACGGGATTCGCACTTCGAGAAAACGGAAATTAAATTAAATAAAGTTCGCACTTTGCGAAAAAAGGAAATTAACGTGTCGACCGCTCAAGACAGCATCTTTGAGTTCGGGTCGACACGGCTTCTTGATCCGACCGAGGAGAAAGGCAGCAATGAGATATTTTGATATAAAACGGGCCGTTCACATGAGACTTTGGCCACGAAAATACGATTAGGCCACTCACACGAGACTTTGACAGCAAAATACAATTAGGCCGCTCATACGAGACTTTGACCGTGAAAATACAATTTGGAAAATACACATGAGACTAGGTTGGACATTTTAGATTTAGATTCTCTACTCAACCATCCATCATATAAAAAATCGGGATCTTCGAGTTCCCTGTGTCACCTTTGAAATAATATTCGAAATTAAGATGAAGTGAAACACGTCGAGGAACTTGATCAACGTCGGTAAAGAGGATTGTTCTAAATACCTACGTTACCGACGATCGCTTTTATATTGACAACCATGTCTAATTATATTGGGTATTGTACCAAACACCCGGTTGTTGGGTATTGTTGATGGTTTACGAGGTCCTAATTGACTACAGAGTGACACCCTGTGCTATCCGTGATTTCCGTGTCTATAACATTTTCACCCCGAGGCCTCATATTACCATCATTTTAGTATACCAGCGTATAAGACACTTTCTTTGTCTTTATCCCATTCAAATGCGAGTTTCTCGATTCCCAGAGTATTCTAAATTGTCGTACAATTGTCCTGATACTTTTGTTTCTCATATCAGAGCCTTCAATAATTGTATATTGATCGAAATATGAGAGTTCGACGCCATTTTGGTTCTGTTTTAGGCTAAGTAAAAAATTTGTTTCGAAAATCCAAATTTTTAAAGTGTCGGAATTATTCCTAGGTACTCACGAATCATGTTTCAAAATTTCAGACGGTTCGGTCCAATATCCTTAAAAAAATGTCTTTTTCGGATCGACTGATTTGAGGGGGGTTTCACTTCACTTTAACACTAAACATAATATATATAGTATAAATCGTTGGTAGGTTTAGTGTTAAATATACTTAAAACGTGTGAAACATTCCATAGAGATCTTACATGGGAGCAGTGAACAAAATAAATACGTTATTTTTTACTACGAACTTACTGTTAATTAGTAAATTTTTTATTTCCACTTGTTTTTCTGCGGCTCATTGGCACTAGTAGTTCTCACAATGAAATACGAAATATTAATTCTGTAACTGATGCTCTAACAGAGCTGGAACTATGGTCTTGAACTTGTAAGGCAACAATCCAAATTTGCTCGCCCATATGGTAAATCATTTTCTGATAACTAAGTAAATAAAACAATACAGAAAGGATATTATTACATTTATTAAACCTAATAAATCAACATTGATTTTCTGATTTTAAATTCCAATGCGTCCAATATTTACAGTTGCATAATGGTTTAAGTGAAGTAAATTCATCAGTTGCTGTGTTGTAATTGATTGTTTTAGACAATGTTCGATCGCTTAATATTATTGCTATTTTCTTAGGGTTTCTTCTTCCAATGTTCAACGCAAATAAGTTTCAAAGATCTAAAATTTGCCGGTACTCCTTCCTACGGTTACAACGGAAACAGGAATTGTTAGGTACAACCACGTTTAAACTTGGATAAGACTATTAATTTGTATTCGTAAAGTATTTTCGAAATGCCACTAGAAGCTGTAGTGTCATTTGACAATATAGACATCAGCACGCGTCTTAAAACTTATTATTTCTTGCTAAATTTTACCAGGGTTGAAGTCAGCCTTTTATTTTGAAACTAAATCAGTTGCAGACTCTTCAAATTCTGCAACACTTAGAGACGTGAATCTTTTATCTGACAAAAAATTGAAATCTGTTACAAGATATAGGAGACTAGAATGAGAGAATAAGAATTAGATTTCTGCGCCCCTTCATAATTGAACTTGAGACAAGGGTCGTATTCGCTTCGCCCTTGATTCGACTCTGTGTACTATAATAGATATTTAAAAAATAAGTCATTTTAACTATTAATTAATTTTTTGACTAATTCATTCTTAAAGGCATTAGCTACGAAGATGACAGAGGAATTGGAATTCCTTAAACACTCGGGAGGTGTTGGAGGGGTGGGAAGCGGTTCAACCATGACAGACAAAAACTGGCGCAATCGTAGATCTCAGAAGTTGGATAAAATGGAACTTTTGAATCTGCAGAGTTCTCTGCAAAGCGAAATTCAAGCAAAGCAGGCAATATCGGAGGAACTCACTAAGACTCGTTCTGAATTGATTGCTGCACAAAAGTATGTTACTGATGCTTATAAATTTGGGCAAATTAGTAGCCTATAGAAGACATAATTTCAATACACAACAAAATAATCATTCTCTTACATTTTAATCAATCCTCACTTTACAACTTTGTAGTCCCAAGTCAATTATTTGATTATACATTTAGAAAATCATTGTCAAATTAATTTAAATTTCGACATACAATTTTATCATATTCAACTCGCCCCGTATTTTAACAGACTTTCCATTCATGCCACGTAGATTGTATTATATTCAAATATGTATTGCATGTTGGTCACCGATAACCTCGTGGTGTAAACGGAGAGTTCAATAACGTTCACCAATGATCGCAGTGGCGTTGACTGTGTTAAGGAAAACGTGAAAACTATTCCAAAAATTCATCTGCTTACTAGCATTGTATTCATTTTAGAGCTCATATATGCAGGCTGTCATTTGTAGAGTAAACTAGTAACCATGTACAACAGCTAAGATCGATTTCGATAAATATTAGAAACTGAAGATCGTTTTATTTAAGCATGCTGGATGTACAATAAGTACAAAGCAAAATATGTATTGTCTCTGTTTTTATCATAATATTAGGAAATTTCATTTAAGAAATGAAATTCATCGTGGGAAATGTTTAATTTTAGAGAGCTGAGAGACTTCAAACAACGTTTAGATACAATGTCACACGAGATAAAACGGAAGGAAATGCAAATAAAAGATTTGCAAGGACGACTTGATACTGGTGACGGCTGTAAGTACAAACTAATTAATTTTACTTTCTCTAGCAATACATCAAAAATATGTAAATCATATTCGTTCGGAAATCCAATGTCCGTAATAGTGATATATGCAGTAGCAATTCACGCTACTTATGTTGTAAGCAAATATTTGAGACTCATTAGCAGGTTATTTGTAAAATAATTCGACGCATCGTAGTAACTAAACCTTTCTTGTTCGTTTTCTTCATACAAAAAACTTTATTACGATTTAATATCGACTGTATCAAGTATCAATAAGATAATTGATGTTTTTATCAAGGAGTTTATGACAATAGTGTAACTTTGATGTATTTTACTTATTTATCTATTACATAAATGTAGGAGACGCTCAATCTCTTGCTAATTGAACGGTAATAAAGAAAAGTATATACTCGCTGATTATATCATTTTCACACGAGAAGGTGAGGTATATTCTAACATTTATGGACTTCAAGAAATAGATCGTCTAATGTATCATTTACTTTTTGACTGCGGAACGCCAAGAAAATAAAAACTTGTCAATTGTACGATGTAATGGTAAACAATACAGAATTTAGACGCTCTTCGTTCCACGGTAGCGCTTCTCATTCGAAGTCTGTAGGCACTCTACGCAGTCAAAAAGTTAACTAGATTAATAAAGTCATAAGCTAGAAAAACAGGGAAATTTTTGAAACAATGTTCTTGCATATTACGGGTTTTATTTGATCAATAAGTATTAGAGTATTATACATGAAGACTGCAGTACACGTGAGTTAGCCATTCTTAATTAATAACGTCAGAGACGGGGAATTCGCGTGAAATTTCTAGTCGGTATTTTGCAAAATAAATTATATTTTCTGGCAAAGGCTGACACTCGATGAAACTAGATATTTACGAAATCTGGTCAGCTATTAACTGATCATGGACTAGAAAACGATATATCACTTTCTGAAAATCGACCGCTAATGCCAGTGACAGGCACACGATTCAGAGGCAATAATTCACAAGACAGACACAATATCATCATAAACACAGATCAGCCAACAGCTTTTATGCATCCACTATTTCTTTCGGTATCAATAACTTGACGAAAAAATAAATGGCCAGCTCGAATACCGGAGGAAAATTTTTCAATGCACCAATTCTCATGTTTTATGCCTTAAGATTGGGATACCTATCCCCAGATTGTAAACGAGAACAATTCCCAAATAGCACACCGTTATACGAATAATATCACATTGATGGAAAAAAGATACGGATAACTGTCGGGCCCGCAGAAATATTAATATTTTGTTTAACTAATACCTGTCAGAGTTATATATTTTTTAAGAGAGAGAAAATAGTACATCATTTTCTCTGTATGCGTTTCCACATCTACGATAACTGGAAACGAGGAAACTTTGCATCCAAAAATGTTTGTACAGGATGTTCTTTGAAAAACTTGAATGGATGGAATCAGCCTGCCAAAAATATAATTTTTCCTTCGGAGACAGATTTAAAAAATGTTTTTCTAACAAAAATATAAAAATATTAATTAAAAATTTGTACTCGCGACCCACGAATCTGCCATGGACGTCCAACATGGCCTGTATCGTTCATCGTTACGGCACTGTTACACAAAACCACTAACGAGAATAAAAAAAAAATGGGGCATGCAGAGAAAGTTGTACACTTCTCAACTTCGCATTATATCACTGGGAACTGCTGTTGAACAGTTAAACTCGACATTTATGGGTGAAAACATGCGAAGCTGTCAGCGAGGACATTTCTCTCGTATAAAACTTGAGCGAATTTTCGTTACAAGCGCTAGTTGTACGTCTTGTCGTCAGTGCGCTGTAGGTAGAAATAATCAGCTACATGACCGTTATTTTCGGGGTCCTTGTAAGATATTTCATTAGATGCACTACGTACACAAATCACGAAAACGCATCAAATTTATGAATACTGATTTTTTTGTTGTGTGGGACAATAGATATCTGTTTTCTATTGACTTTCTTGGTAAAAAAAAGTCTTAATGTTTTACGTGATGTATGGAATAATTATTGGAACATGGCCCCCTATGACTAATACTCGACGTTACTGGGATATGACTGGTTGGCATAAAAGTGTTGCCATTGATTGCCGTTACGTAGCTACGAGGTCAACTTGGAGTTACACGAGTAGTACCTTTCTCCTTAACCCATTTGCATCATTTCACGGAACAAGCCACAAACAATGACTGTTGCTTATCACCAAGAGTCGGATTTTTGAAATACACGGACATTTGCAGCGATGATGCAAATGGGTTAATCGGAAAAGCATGTACGCTATCCTTTCCGGAAACCCGTAAAAGATACAAAATTCAGAACAAATGTTTGTTATTCGAAAGTTTGTTTAATGTTGCTTAACAGATGTTTATTTAAACTATCCACTACCGTACGCAGTAACTTGTGGAACAATGTTGACCGTATCTCCTATGAACAAGCGGATCGCATCTACCACCAGTGCATTGCTAATCATAGAAAACCACGAGTAACGGAAAATATCTGTGTATCTTGAGGAAGATAGTTGATTGTATGATCATTGATATGAAATGTTTGTCAATAGGCGTCGCCTGACGTACAACTGCTGGACAATGCCCACTCCAAGAATCTACTAACAATACACTGTCGCTACCTGTATTAGGAAGGAAAGCCTTTTCCAACCAGAGCTTGAAGTGCTCTGAAATGTAAATGACACCTTTCATAGATATACAACTCAGAATTGAAATTCGTTCGCTTTGTTCTTTTAATACGATAAAAAGAGGCGAAAGCAGTTTTCCTTTAGCCGATATTGTTGGCTGTATTGTATAACTATGAGTAGTAAAAGAAACAGACTGTACGAGGCATTGCACTTGCTTCGTACCTTCAACTGCTAACGTTCGTCCTGAATGTATTTCCAGCAAAAAGCCACTTTGATCTGAATTGTATACATTTTCTAAACCATATTGTTGAAGATAAGGTTTCACTTGCTGTACAAAATTATCAGCATTCGTTTTCAAATCTTCTACGTTCTCCAAAGTTTTTCTGGTTACAAACTTATTGATTTTCCTTGATGTAATCCGATGTGCTTTTTTGAACTTCCTCACCCACATGCGAAAAGCTGTGAAACGCGAATCTTCGTGCCCTATCTACATTTTAGCTTGCAAGGCCCACTTTTGGAGGTCGACATCATGTACAATCATGCCAGCATCAACAGCATTTTATAACAACGAGTGGAGCAATCATCGAGGAATGTTTTGGCTTATTCGCACGCCTTTCGCACCGAATTGCATTCTGGATCAAAACACGGGACCTACTCTTCCGTCAACATAGTGACTTCCTGAGAACGTCCGATCAAGCTTCTAACAACAAAATCCAAAAACAAGGAAATTGCACATTGTCTTCACGGGCATCTCAAGGATAAGATCTCGTATTAAAACGACACCGAAAAAGAGCAGCGAGCAGTCCAAAGAGTTCAATCTCAGGAGCTAGGCTGGGGCTCTCTGAAGAGCTGACCGTACTATAGTAACAGTTGCGCGTTTCGATACTCCGATATCCACCAGCCAACAGTGAGAAGAACGACGGCACTGCGAAGTCTGGATCAGCGGGAGAATCTTAGGAAGCTCCAACCCTAGGGCACGCCCCGGTTTGAAGGCATTCACGTGCAGTTCATCGCAACCGGCAGGACGTGGAGGAGACGTCACAGGAAGTAAAGGCCTCTGCGAAGCCAAGGTACAGGTCTTCTTCGAAGAGCTCCACTCTTCCACTCTTTCACTCTTTCATCACTCTATTTCGAACCCTATTCCAAATGACTAACCCGCAACAGAATTCGGTATTCACCTTCCGGTAACGACTACCAAATTTTAACTCCTCACAATATAAATCGTAACTCATTAGCTGCCCTTGCTGAGCAAGGCAAAGCGCACTTTGCAAGCAATGAATCTTGCGTCAGCATTCCGCAATTGATACGCGGACATACATCGTTACACTTCCGCGAGTCGCTAGCGCACGGCCTCTAACGTCCTTGTCTCGTCTCGCGACGATCCGCTTAGCACAGTATATCTTTTTCACACCTTACCCCCATGGACATTGTACCCCTTGCATCACAAATGGAACTGTTTTGAGTCAATATAAAACGACAACTTAATTCTCACGAAACCTTAAAACCCTCCTGTGTCCTCATTGCAACTTTCCAACCACCCTTTGAGGACCAAAAACCTATGGATCCTACTAAAGAAGTTGACCTAGCCGCTCGGGTTATCCTCTCCATATTTCTCAAATCATAAACTGGTTACGCGTGCGTACGAGTTACTTTCTCTACAAACAGTATACCGCTTGGGGGAATCTGCAAAATTCCCCCGGCCTTATTAACCACTCGGCCCCCACGTAACAGTATGTGAACTCAGCCAATCATATCGTCTAAATTTAATCACGTGATCTGGGAGATCGTCCTCTTGTTTGAGCGTAATGCTAAACGCGCTGAAACGTGTCCAGCATAGACGGAGCGACGTGGCGCATCATTAGTTGTTGCTTGCGTCTGGTCATTGAAGATTCAGGCAATCTACGAAGCTGACTTACTTCGGTCTAATGCTATCGAATTGATGCGAAAGAAGTAAGTACCTACACAGGAAAGTGTCTTACAATTATGGTTGTGTATTCATATAGAATATGTTTTAATAAATTTACTATCTGGGTTAACATATGAGGCCCATCAATATTATCACCAATTGGAAGATTACACCCCAAATTTACACATATAATGTAGACCAATTATTCATTTTATATGTAAAATTACCCTTTGTACTTGTTACGTCAAAATGGTAACAAATATTACATCCAAACACAGATCAACTTACCTGTAGTACGGATCAACCCCCTTTTTGGCCACGAATTCAATCGTAGAGCTAGGGACTGGAGTGCACAGAGGGTCAAAGACAGAAATAAACAAAACCAGAGGTTTTAACAGTTAACAAAAATGTATTACTAAATAACAACCTTAAAGTTAGATTCCGAATAAAACTAAGGTATGTTCCTTAGGTTATATGTGGATGAAAGGTCTACATTTTCAATCGAAAACAATATGCAGGAATGAGAGTCGCGATTACAGGCATGTACTATACCGTGAAATTTTCGCGGATTTGGGTGTTTAAATTACTGTCTAATTTGACAGAATCAGAATCTAAGGCTCTTCATGTCTTGTCGCATGTCATATTAGACAAAATTTAAATCCAAAATTTTAGGAGGATAACTTCGATATAAAACAGTTGTCAATTAATTAGCATAGGACTTAATAAAAATTCTTAGGGAGCCAATACTTCAAAATCACAAATTTAAAGTTGTTAGTAGTCTTTAATCACTGGAA